AACTGTGAGCTGTGCTGAGGCGGCGTCCTTCGCTCTGTGCTGAATCCGGGAAAGTGAGTTTGACCTGCAGATGATCCTGCGGCTCCTGTTTGCCCACAAACACAGACTCAGTCTGATGCTTCCTCAACACTGAGGCCGTCACTGATCCATAACTGCTGAGGACGTGCGATGGTCAGTGAGACTTTTGTTCAGAGACTTTCAGACGAGCTCCCACAGAGAGCCGGACACGGGGGCGGAAACCAAACCGCGGCACCTCTGAGCCTGCTCCACGTCAGCACAGTCACGGTGAAAGCTGCTCCGCGAGGTCCGTCCTGCTCCTCTCTGACTCCAACACTATGATTAAAAAATCTCCAGAATCAACTTCCTGTTTTATTCAATCAGACCTGAAAGCCAAAAACAATAAAAAGGAGTTTACTGAGCACAACACTCGTTCTCTCGTTTCTTCAATCAGAACTCAGAGAAAGAGAAAATAAAGGGGGAGGGGCGTGTTTATGCGGAGCTCTTAAATTTAGCAGGTCAAAGGTCAGAAATGTGTTTTACAACAACAGTCTCTTCGTTCTTCCTGTCGTTTGTCTCCTGCTCTGACGGTGGACGGTCACATGCTCGACTGCACCAGAAGAAGAATCATGCAAAGCTGCTCCAAGAACAGAAATATGTTCTGCTGCTGAGAACCAGCAGCTTTGTTTAAAAAGAGGACAAACTGTGGGACAGATGCAGATGGATGGACGGCCCTCCCGTCCCCGCACTCCCGTCATCGTCAGCCTCTCTGCGTTCCTGCGTCTTCTGACAGCGCTCGCCTTTAAAAGGAGGAAGTGGAGATGACGGGCCCGAGCTCCGGCTGATCAAAGACAGGGAGAGACGAAGAGCAGAGATCATCTGCAACTGTCAGGCTGCAAGTGCTCAGAATGACTGATCCTCATAATTTACCGTAGTGTTCATCATTATGTTTATTTCCTAATGTCGTGAATCAGGAACACTCAGAGCCACGCCTCTCCTCACCTGAGGTAAACTCGAGCTGTGAGGCAGCTGTGTGCGTTTCCTCAGGGCCGAGATGACAAACGGACTCAAACTGTGGACGTTAAAGTTCACCTCTTTGATCTGAAGCTTTAAAATGTAACAAATCAAATGTTTGAGTTTTTCCACAGTAATGAGACTCTGAGCGTTTCTCTGCTCAATGGGTGCTTATTTTTAGGTACGGGGGGGCCGATGAAGGCTTTGGCATCATTCAGGCGTGAGCCAGGAACGTGTGAAGCTTTGAACCAATCAGCAGTGAGCTATGAGCGAGGCCTCACACGGGACGTCAGGGCTCGTGTTATCGCGTTTCTTTGTCGCTTTAGTTTGTTCTGCTGCAGCTGGGGAGTGATCTCAAGGTCAGACACACAACGGTTTGTCAACACCGTCCAATCAGCTTTGGGAATGAACGGGGGGGTGATGGGTGACGAGGAAAGGTGTCGGCAGGAGCACGCTAGGAGCTCCGGCTCAGCTCTGTGACACGCTGATGACACGTGCGCCTCCTCACAGAGGTCAGCTGTTTAGCTCAGAGCAAGCCAGCGCCTCCCTGAGCAGCTCTCAAACGTTCATCTCCATCCAGCCCTTCTTTCTTCTTCAAAATGCATTTATATTTAATATTTTCTATTTCTATATTTTCTACAGATTCATACATGTGCACTTATATTTATACTTGATATTTATCTTTTTGTTGTATTGTGACTTTATTTTGGTCCTGTGTACGTCCTGCATCCTCGCCCACAGTGAGATTTTCT